TGATGAGGTGAAATAAATATAAGGAATCGTTTTATTCTATGGATTATAATTCTTTGTAATAGTTTGGAGATAAATTGCGTTTTTAATTTTTTTTTTTTTCATTGAATTTTTTTTTTGTACTAACAATGTTTAAAACAATTAATATTTAAAAAAAAATGTATAATTATTTAATATATTTTTTTTTAATACAACATATATATTATGTAAACATTTAAACCAAATTATCACTTATTCATAAAATCATATAATTTCAATTTAACATCTAAGAATATAACTGTTATTAACTGATTGACGATAATATTGTTGGTGAGTAAATATTAATGCAATAATAAATCAGTGRAAATGTTTTAAAGTATTCGACTGAAATTTATGATTATTTTCAACCCATATTATAACACATGGGGTCGGCAACAGGCGGTCTGTGATTCAGATTTTGCTCGCGTAGGGTAACTGGGTAAATAACCCGACCGCCAAAAATATTTTTCTTTAATGCTGGTTTTCCGCACATAATCGATATTTTTGTAATGTATTTACACTAGTCATAAGAATATCTAYCATGTTTAGCTCCRCGTGCTTAATTCTTTCTAATTATGATTTWAAAAAATACATATCGTTCAAAATTAACTAATTTCCACCTTGAAAACACTATAACCTACGCATTAGTTGTTTTTAAAGAGCAAACATTTTAAAAAACTGGCCCACGATAAGGAATTATGATTTCTCTTATTATGCATAAAATTGTATTTTTATCAGTATGAACTATGAAGGTTAGGTTAGGTTTTAGATCACAGTTACTGCATTTAAACCTAAATATTATTTTTCCAAACAATTATTTATTAAGATGTAATTCAAAAACTACTAATCACCGAGACAAGTAACTTTTCGACCCTTTCGTATATAATTGTTTTCTATATACACAATTAATGTTTTAAAATATTTAGACAGATTTTAAGCTGTGTATCATGAACATATTCACATCATCCTACAGTACGCAATACTTAAGTGTAAGATTTAACTGTATTAATAATTAATAACTATATAATATCCCTCAGTGATATTTTTCACTTAAATACTTCAACATACCGTCTTCTAATTAATAATTGTAAAATAAATTAATTACAGTAATATAAATACGTTAAATAACATCCTTAGAAATACGGAAGCTTATATCACATCCTGACTAGGTGAGTGGGTCATTTGTTATAAGTAATGTTTTATGGTAAAAATTGTAATTTAAACACCCATTATAATGAATTTTGTCAATTATGAGATACAATCGAAATTACTTCACAAAAATAGCAACGTTCCTGTTTTTTTGTTTTTTTTTAGTATGAAACTTATTTACTTCAGTGATTGGGTATAAAGTRTATATAATGTATTAGAATAAAATGTAAGGTAAAAATTATTTTTCTCATTAATTTGTTTTTAACTTAAAAAAATTACATACATAATATAATAAATAGTATTATACTAACAGTCACATTTATAGAAATACATAAAAATTCAACATACATAAAAGGCGCATAATAAAATATAATTTATGTTAAACTGAGAAGGACGGGTGTTATAATTAGTGTATTATTGGTCACAAAAAAGGATAGTAAGGGCAAAATGTGTATTTAGAGTAAAAAATAAAGCGGAAGCTGAGTAAACTATATCTACCCTTAGGGAATGGTGGCACTGAGTTGCAGGTCATTGCTTAGTCGTAAAGTCTAATAGATCTCTTTTTCACATAAAATCTCATGGGTCCTTTGAAATCCTTTTTCCCTTTCAACCTGGATGTATCTATATGAAAATTTATCTAAGTTATCCTGCTTCTAAATAGAAAAAAATTTTGTATTTGAGCCATTTACGCTTGTATTCAACAATTATTTAAAACATAATTTATAATAAATAAAAAATACAAAGATATCAGTTTTGTTTTTATGTAATATTTCATCCATATATTAGAGTTYAGTGATTCTTAAACTTTTTTAGAACACGGACCCAGGATGAAAGATTTTTAGAAATCGCGAACTCCCTACCAATTTTTTGTCAAATACCTTTTTCTTAATAAACATCTYATGTTATCGTAAAATTATAATAATTATTTTTCATTACAAATTATAGAAAGTGGACATATGTTTATCTCTTACAATATAAGATACATTTTATATGAATAAAAAAAGTAAATAATAATCCAAAAATGTTTTAATAATGCACCCATGTTAGGTGTAAGGACTAAGGATGTTGCGAAATCCCGACATAAGTATTGCGGACCTCCAGGGGGCTGCGGACAACAGGTTAAAAACCACTGTTATAGTCGATATTTAACCCAAAAAAGCGGGTAAGTGRATGACGCTATGCTGTACATTAGGTGGTGGGGTGAACCTCTGACTAGAGTAGATTAGATTTGAATGCAATAATAGGTATCATTGTATACAAAAAACGATYCTGAACAGAGATGATTTGTCAGTCTAGGATAAGAGATTTAATGATGCTTCGAGTTTTCTCTATAGCTACTTGAAGGAAAACTTGTGGAAAACTTAGTGTTGTATTTTTAATCCTTAGTTATAAACACAAAAAATTTTATGATTTTTCAACTTCAAAATTACTTGCAAATTTTCGCTTTTTCGTCAGATTTCGTAAAAATTTGAACTATAAACGCTTATAAAAAAAATTGTGACTTACGATTTTTAATTTTTTTTAGCTACAATAAGAACAACTCATAAGGAACCTTGTATTAAATTTTCAAGTTTTTTTGGTCGTCCAACGTTTTACCAGCACTTCAAAAAAAAATTCTCAAAAAAATTGAAAATTTCAGTGGTCTATAAATAACTCAAAAAAAGTCAAAATTTTTTTTTAATTAAACTGTATATAGATATCACTTATTAGTTTTTGAATTACAACCATATAAAAAATCGATTTGGTCGAAAACTGGTTTTGCGTAAAAATTCCCGTTTTTTTTTGTTTTTCTCGATTTTTTTGAAAACTATTGGAAAATGTTTACTTTTGACCTCTATAATGCACCAAGGATATTCACTTTTTTATCGGAAACCACCCCCAAAGTTTGAAATTGAAGCATTATTTTGACTAGTTATGCTGTACACAGACAAAAAAAAAACATATCATTGTAAAATCAATACATTCATCACTTCGTTCAGAATCTAAAAACATGATGATTAATATTATTCATAATTATGCTAAAAGTGCATTTAAAAATTATATCAAGAATAACAATAATTGATACGTTTTTACTATCTTAAGCATATAAGATTATTTGTAAAAGTTTCATCTATTTCATAAAATATTATAGTTGTAGTGTTGTATCTTTGTAATTATATTATATTGGTATATTGCCACTATGTAAGTAGAAATCTATTCATTTATGTGAAATATTCAAAATTGTAGTGACTTTCCTTCTTATGAATATAAATAACAGTCCACAATATAATATTTTAAGCTAAAAACCCCTTCCCCCATCTTGTCTATAGCTCTACACGCTTGGTTCACTGAACAGTCAACTATAAATGTACAAGTTGGTAGATATGGCTTTCACTTTAATTACCCTTATCCCCTTCTCCAAAATTATATATTAATATATATCATTCTCTTGGTATATTTTTAGATATGAATATAATAGTATCTTTAATTTAGTACCTAGCTAAAGACTATAAGCTCCTAATCAACCAAACATTTATTACAGGTAAAAACGTTCGAAATAAATTTAATTAGGRACTGATGTTGTTATGTATTTAATAAATTAAATTATTTTTAGTTAAAATCAATACTTTATGTATTTGTTTTAAATCAGATTCAAATTCAAAATAACACAGTCCATTATTAGTGAAAATATTAAATTTAATATAATAAAAATAATTGTTTTTTTTTTTTTTTTTTTAATTTTTGTAATAGAAGATAACAGTATTTCATAGTGCTAATGTATTTATTAAGGCAAACAAAAAACTAAATTAAATTTAAGCAAGTAATAAGAATGGTTATTCATTTGTATATCTAAAGACCAAATTCTTTGAAATCGAACGCTTTGATTAATTATTTTAATAAACATTATGATGATATTATAATTTATAATCATTACCCCTGTATTAGTGATGGTTTTGTATAAGCTGTTCAGTCTTTGGTCATCATAAATATTTAGATACCCTTACAAATATCGATTACAATCGTGACAATCATCAGGTTGTCAAGACCATTAATAACATGTTGATATCTATTAAAACCCTCGTTTAAATGAAGACACTCTATATTATGAATAAAACACTCACTTCTACTAAACATTTTTATTTAATGGGTAAAATATGATTCTTTTAACAAMAATTTCGCGTTATTTCAAAAAGTATTAACTTTTATGGATATTTTATTTTTTGTAAATATAATGCGATTCTAAAATCTTTTATTGCTTTTATTTTTTTTAACCTTATTAATGTACTGATAGCCCACTATGTACTTTTGATATTAAAATTGCTATATATAATATATTTTCAAATATAAACACTAAATACCCATTGTAAATAATAACTATAATATGTAGTAAAATATATTCCAAAATGTAATGTACATTGTACAGTTGTACACATATATATATTTTCCTTTCTTATTCTTGTATACATTTTTTGATTATAGTAGGCTAAAAACCTGTGTTGTTGAAGCCTTAATAAACTTAAAAAAAAAATATATACATATATATATATTCAATGTAAGGACCTGATGCAAAATGCTTTTCTAAAAATGTTGATGAATATAAAATWTCAAAAACATATTGAAAATTATGACAACAAATTATAAGTAGGATACAAAACAGTTATACATTTGAAAATAGTGATCGAACTAATCCATAATAACTGATACGAAAAACGAAATAATTGTATACCTACTAAATAACAATTATCKAAAAATCAATGACCAATTAAAATAGGAACTATAAACATTKTAAGCTGTATAAAACAATAATATTAATTATTGTATTAAATATTAATTTTTATTTAATTTTTTATTTTCAGGATTAACTTCAACACCTTCATTCAGCATAATCTTATTGATCACATATTTTGTGGTTATAAGGTAACGAGTCCAACTTAAAATGGGAAAATATTTCCACCTGTTACCATGTAAAATATAGTGTAAATTATTATAATACGTTGATAAAATATAAAATGTCGGTCAAAATAAACCCCYAATATTTAAATGGGTTATTTTGCTGAAATGTATGATAAACTGTGAAGCTACATTTCTGCCATAAATAACTAAAYAATATGTTTGTTACTATCTATGTATAAAATAAAAATAATATTATTAAATTCTTACCGATATACATATTTATATGCATCTTTAATACGTTAATGAATATTCCAATTTGAAATAATTTTGACTTTATTAATTAGTTTGATCAAAAAATTATAAAATAAATTAAAATCAATAGTTTTAACACTTCGGGCGTTCATAAGAATTTAAAATGTATGTTTTTAACAATGACATGTTTTTGATGGCTAATTTTTGAAAACTGTAAATATTTTCAGAAATCTAGGTACATTATTTTTGTGTTTTGCATTATTATGTATCAAAAGTTTTATAACTTATAAATTTATAATATATCTGCTATATTTAATCTTCTATAATCATCATTATATTTTATTATTTTATTAAATACAAAAATACAACATAAAACCAAAAACTACATACCTAATACATAGTTCTACTTTATTTGTATTCTGTATAATGTATATAATATTTAGGATAGTATTAAATAATTTGATACCGACATTTTATTACATTTCAGTTATTATAATATGATAAAATACTATTTATATTATAATGTGTTAACAAAATAAATGTTGAATTATATTCAAATCATTTATTTGTATACGATATCTTTATATGTATCTAAGATATTTAAGATGTCTAAAGTGTTAATTATAACATTTATTTTCCGTAAATGTATTGATATTTAGAAAATAAAGTTGTATTGTAACTAAAATTATTATTATGTTTTACAGCATAATTGGTTCTCAAACTTTTGAGGCCCAACCCCACTTAGGTATATACCTATACTTTTACATGCATGAAGAACCCCCCTCCAATTATAAGCTAACAATAGTATTACTAAATTAATCAATGTGGTTACAAAATGTCCATTTTCATTGGGTTTTCAAAATGTTCAAGTTTCCCAAAAGTGGTATGTCATTCAGATTGAGAACCCTTGTTATATAGAATGCCACGTCATAAATGTATATTATTCTTACATAAATTTATCAATCTAAAATATTTTTAGAAATTAATACATTTTATACGAACAAGAGTTAAAATAAACATTCTTAAAATATTAAAAATGGTTTTGAAAGTCATATTTACCTTCCGAACTATTCATAGAAATGGTATGTAATATATCATATTTTTATTCAATATAAAGGTTGAGAAATAAGTAAGTACCTATCTATATTGAAAGGCTAAAACAAAGTAAGATATCAACTCCGCTGTTCAAAAATCAATTAGTATAATCTAAAGCAACTAAAGGAAGGTAAAAAGATAAATAAAAAAAGATTCATTTTTCAAGATATTTAATGTACAGTTTCATTCTAGCTCATGTTCATATTTTACCTGCGGCCTGCAGGTACAGATTGTGTATTTAATATAAATATAAAAAATAAATTAACATAGCACACACAAACAAAAATAAAACCGTTTTCTCTTGTTAATAATAGTATGGATTGAGATAAATTGAACCTAATTGTAGACTACTTATCATTATTCATTTGATAATAAACTCAAGAAAAATACAAAACTAAAAAATAAAAAGCTGTTGATTTAATTCTAAAATATTAAGCAACACTTTTTTGGAATCCCSATTCTTCGATAACAAAATAACATTTAACAGTTTAGCATTTCAAGACATTGTTATATTATGAAAAAACCTAGGTAACACAAAAAAAAAATTCAACAGGATATTAAGAACTCGTCTCACTTCACTCATCCATTGATGTAAAATACAACGATGTTATGTTATATTAAATTWRAGAGTCTTAGAAATCAGSCCATTCAATACATTATTCAGATTTGAGTTCAGTATAAACAATTCCTGAAATTTTTTCATRGTTTTTCAACAGCTATTTAAGTTTAAGACATGATCAACTTTAATATAGAGATTATTAAAATATAATTACGCCATTGCATACTATAAACTATTAGTATATTCAGATAGATAAGCAATATTTTTAGAATATATTCACCTGCAACAAAATTTTTAATTGCTAATTTTAAAGTAATCTATAATTTATGTAACTTATTATGTACGGCCGTCAATATTTTATATTTATAACATAAWTTAACACTGAACACTTATTGTTATATTATTTTATAGAGATGTTCAGCGAATTGCCACGAAAATTATCTGTGATCAATATAATCAACATATCCTAAAATACATTTTAGATAAAAACAAAAYTATATTTTTATGTTATTTGTTGATAATATGTATAATGTACAATGGTCACTGATAATTCGAAATTCAGTGGACCGTGCTAAAAATTAGATTTATAGAGGTCAACATTTCACATCACGCCTAAACTAAATCTTTACAAAACCCTTCTAAAATTTGGACGTATAGCATCCTAATTCGGAACACCACAAAAAAAAAATCAAACCGGTACAAAACACAAATAATCCAAAATAAAATTTTTTTTTCGATAGCAAAAGATCTTTTCTATAAACCTAATCAAAATCTACATACACACCTRGAAATTCCGAAATTAACAAAGTACTAGAACCTCACTCATCGTCCATCGATCTATAACCATAAAACACAACCCAGGAATGTTGTGGACGGCTTCTCCAATCAACTCATCGTGTTAAGTCTATAATTATGTTAACTTGTTACACAAAAGTTTTATAGGTCATTTAATCCAATTAAAAAAAAATTAAAATACTTTGAACAATATATTAAAATATAGGTAGGTACATCATGATAAAAACTAATTATAAAAGTACCTATATATCACCTTAAATTATGTACTTAATTGAGTTGATTGTTAATTAACACATCCCTCAGGACTATTTTAATTTACATTTTCATATATAATATTCATAAATTTCCATTTTATTCTATATTCTTCAAACAACTACGATAATTATTTACATTGAGTGTTTAAAAACAAATAGTTAAAAATATATTAACAATGTAACATATTTTTTTTWTATATATAAATTAGACTATTATGACTCAACAATTAAATAATATATACATATAGGCAGTTATTATTACAGAATATCTAATAAATAGCTTAATGGTATTAAGTATAACATAACAAGATTAGATTGTTTGCACAATAATAAAATATATAAATAGAATACAATAAATACAATGAATACTGGAATGAGTGAAATATTAACTATGGAGGTAAATTTTTGTGTAAAAGTTCGGATAGGAGGGAAATTAGAGGCCCGAATTTAATTAAAAATAAATTACTTATCATAGTTAAGATGATTTTTAGTGGATWAGTTTCAGAAGTTATGCAAAAATGTATAAGCCAACGTAAAATGAATAMTTAAAAGAATGCCTAAAACATTTTGGATATTAATAGTTGATTAAATTGTTTRTGTTTTTATCATAAAAATGTGTATGAATTCAATGTTCTTAAATGAAACCARATTTGATTCATTTTTTATCAAGTATTTAATAAAACGTCATGAATTTTACAAAWATATTGATGATTTATTTAAACCAAAAGGTATATATTTTAATTTTATTTGTAGTATACGATAACTTATACGCAATAGACTGAGGCATCAATGACTAATATCTAATATTAAAATAAAAAACAATTATTTAGACTATCAAAAGAAGTGTATTATATCAGAAAAATATATTCTAAATTATTTTAAAATGATTAAATATTATTATATTATGTATAATTTCGAATTAAATTTAATTAGAATCTCGTTAATTAGTACACATACAATTTAAATAATCAAACCTTTAAATTGTATTTTAATTAACTTTCTTTTTGAAAATTGAGTTTATGTATAACTTTTAAAGTCTACATTGCATATGTAAAATATACGTAGTTTTAAAAAGTTTAGGTCCCATAGGTCATATATTCATGAGCATTGTTTACTCAAAAGATAAAATAATATATTCTATGCATTATTCACAGCATTGGTACATCTCACTAGTCGACACAAATATTTTTGAAAATCTAATAAAAATATATTTTATAACTAGATAGCTATTTATCCAATTCGAAAGAGATTTTAACTACTTAAGCTTGTTAAACATTGAACGATTGTTATTTCGAGTAGATAAAATAAAGGTACCTATTAATATATATATATATATTTTAATATACAAATTAATTTCTTAATTTAAAATTATTAAATGCCTTCATCTTAATTTAGTAGTTGCCCTGCCTATATTTATTTATATTTACTATATTTACCCTACTCACTTATTGATTAAGATRTACTAGAAAATCGTAGAAATGTTATATGATAAAATTTACAAACAACGTGTAATATAAAAATGCAACATAATTGTAACGGAAGATAAGCTGACTTACTCTCCAAAATATGGCATTACCTAATTGGTTACACACATTACAACCGACTCGTTCGGAGGATACGCGCGATGGTTGCAAGCATCGCAGTCAACAGATAAAAGTGAGTATATAGCGATAAGTGGCATCCGAAAGTATGGTGATGCCGCGGAAGAAGGGGCTTTTAAGAAAACCCATTAATATGATAAAAAGGGTTCGGTCCGTTCCGTCGAGCTTAATCAATTCCCCCTCAGAAACAGAACACCCGAAACACTGCTACACTCCCCGGGCAGCGGCTGGCGCGTCTTCAATTAATTACTGTACGGCCGCCGACATACACACAGCTATAACACTACACAACACGCTGCACGCGAATAAATATTGCATTAACAGCGGATAGAGGTTGCGTTTATTTTCGACAAGTGCAGCCAAGTGTGGGTGAGGGATTATGATAGGGGTAAGTACATTATATGAGGTTAGTATTATTATGCAGGTTGCCCGGCACCACTTCGTGTACGAGAACGAGGGAATTATAATGCTTATACGCATAATTCATGATGGAATTGTAGGCGCGATAGAAAACGGATAACACGTACAATCTACATAATAAAATCGTATCCGATACCCGTGGTTGTAGTTGTAAGTGCTTCGTTTTTGTTTCAGTTTTTCGAAGAGTCGAATGTATAGTACGATTTCGTAGTAAAACAATAACAATATACAATATATACCCAACTTATTTTTTCAATTTTGTTTGAGTCCACACCCACTATGACCGTAA